AGAGATCCTATTACCAGTGTTGTTTATTCCATCGTTGGTATTTATCTTCTTGAGTTACTCTTTTTCAGTAGTCGTCAGCCTATTGTTCGCAAATAAGATCCTTTTAAATTTTTGTGAATAAATCTCGCAAAGAAAATTGAAAAATATTAGTTCACGCGAATCGCAAAACAAGCACGATATTATAATCAAAAACAAAGACCTCTTAGATCCATCCTTCGCAATATGCATCTTTTGTTTCAAAGTTGTTGCTAATTTTTTCATCGAAACTACTCCTGTTGTCTGTAACTTTCCATATCCTTCATTATTTGCATGAACTTTTCGATAAGATCCTATGTCGCAAAAACCGGATCATTTTTAGCGGTAAACCGAAAAAAACCGCGGTTAGCTGGAAAAAACCGCGGTTAACCGGAAAAAAACGCTGGTTTTCCGCTGTTTGGGAGCCGGTAACCGGATCGGTAAAACCGCCGGTTTTCACTACATGGCATGTAAGAGACGAAAGATGCTGGTTGCGAACCCGATTATGTAGGAGTCTTCTTTATTATTAGAAAACATCTGGTAGTTAGCGTATATTCTTAGATCGACTATTTTTTCAATTAGGAGCCTCTTCCTCATAGATTCACTGTTAGATGACTCTATCAATTTCTGATTAATGTATAGTCGACAACTCATCTTTAACCATCACATTTTTTACTGTCATGTTGGTATGTGGTTTTGCTTCTCGTTCAGATTTTTTATTCATTTTCTTCTAGATTTTTAATTGATTAATAAAAACAATAAGGTCTAATTTTTTTTCCATGACAAATCGAATCTAAAACGTCAATTTTCACATATGATCATTGTATTTTTTTTTCTTTGTTTTTCGAATATATTCTCATCTAACTATCAAAAATTGCATGTCGCATTGTTCTTGTCGTTTTTTATTACATATTCTGTGAATTCCGAATAATAATAAGATATTCTGAATATAATAGTGAAAACTAAACTTATATGCGTAAAATTCCACAAATGATCGAAAAAAATCATTGATTTATCGCGATTCAGCAAACGATTATCGTTTCGATAAATCGGAATTAATTACCAATTTTTTAGCGATTTTGAGCACATGGGTAGATCTTTCTTAATTCACCTATGAAATGAAAGAGTATAAGTTGGCTTTCAAAAAAATAATATTATATTCGTTTCATTTTTCGACATCAGAATAAAATGAGGAAACTATGATTAATTAGTGTTCTATAGAAAGACAAAAAAACGAACAGAGAAATTCTTAAACGAAAGCGATTTGATTTCTTATCTATCATTAGAACTTAAATCGTTTCTTTTGTCAAAAATTAATTGTATGAATAATTTTGAAGCAAATCAAGATTTTACGATTTTAATATTTTCATTATAGTGTCATCAAGACATGTTCTATCGGGTCAATGCTTTTAGCATAGATAGTTTGAATACTTAGCTACATTTTGATGAAAACCTCAGCTCGATATCTTGAACCAGAGAAGAGATATTAGAATTGAATCGTTATTCATTGATTGTATGAATCATTTTAAGCGTCACTATATGTACAAGCTGATGCATTCGTATACATGTCAAGCAGAACGATGAAAACAACAAAGAAAAAAAGAAAAGTAGGTCATTCAGAGAGAGAGAGAGGGAGTGAACGAAATATATTTGCTATTGATCCTAAAAAGGTATTTTTAAAAATTTTTCATGGAGAGTTGGAAGTACGCCTGCGAGAAAATTAGTCTGTTTTGCCCAAGTCTTTATGCTCTTTCCAATGTAATTTTTATTGAGTCGGTACGATGTCGAAAATTTCGCAGTGTTTAATGTGACTTAGTAAAAACAAGCATTATTGATCAGACTTTCTGGTATCATCATCATAATTCTTTAAAAATGAAATAATTTCTTCGGTATCACTATCATTATATGCAACATTTTGATGATTATAATTTTTATCGATAAACAAAAATAATTTGTTTTACTCTAAATATTTAATCTAACTTTATCACTTAGTTTATTACTTTTATTTCAAATTATCATATACGCATCTGATAACAGCGCTTCTTTTCATCAAACCAAGAGTAATGGTGTCTAGAATGGCTACTTCCAAATTGCGGTCAAAAATCACACCTATTTGCGCCCTCACCCACACTGTCGGTCTGCTGATTGGTTTGATCTTTGTCCGCAATTTGGAAGCTACGGTCTAGAATATATCAAGTGGCGACTAAAATTAAAAACTACTCCATATCCTTTTGTCATTTGATATCATTAATAACCCATGAAAATAGAAAAGAACAAACTGCATCATTACATGTTTTTTTTCTTTCTCATTGCTTATTTAACAACGTATAACTATTGTGATTTTGATTAATATGATTTTTTTTTTGACATTTAGAATAATCATCTATATCATTATCTTATCATTTTAATCTATATAATTAATGAAAAAACAAAATATATATTTGAAAATTTTCGGTCTTATACATTCATTTCCAACTTTATAACCAATAACGATATAGAACAAAAGTTACATGTATTAACAACAAAAATCAGCACAAAATAATTTTCTAGTATTGACATAAACCTATAGCTATACTATAATACGTATCAATATAATTTTATAATTAACGAGTAATCATTGATGAATACTCAGGATTATTTAATCTGTCACATAATTATAATAAATTTGTTGTAAGACTGAAAATGGTAGTATTAGGCCGAACATTCCCGAATATATGTTTTTCGTTTGTTTTTGTTGAAAACAATAAAAACATTTTGTTTTCAGGAATCATCTCTTCCGCATTCTTCACAATAATCCTATCGAAATTACATGTCATCTGACCGAAATGTATTTGAGTAATAGTCTTTAGGAAGAAAATGTTTCGATGAAAAGTCCTAAAAAATTTTAGTCATGCTTTTTTTCGCATTTATTATAATATTATTATGTTGTTAATATGAATGAATATGTGCTGTATTTTGTTTGTTTGTTCTATACTGATCTAAATAAATCTAATATAACTCCGCATATTTAACTATATATAGAAATAGAAACAACCAATGACAATATATAGTCTTCCTCACCCATACCTGTCAGAACACAAGTTTTAGCATTATTGCTGACGTCAATCAGAGCAAAATCATGACTGAAGAAGGGATTAATACGTTGCATGTGTCTAGTCAAGCAGAGAGAATAGCTAAATAGTGAGACTCTTACCTTCGAGTATATATATAGTAACAAAATCATAACTATAATGTCATTGTTTATTTATGGAGTAATTCGATGTTATATGAATATGCAATTTTATAAAAACTTAACAATGATATGTGATTATAAATAGCATTTTCTTGGTTTTTCTATCATCGAACATTATGTTTATATTATTATTTTAGATCATTTTCTTCAAAATTATTGCAAATATTTTAAAGAACGACAAATAAAAATGAAATTATCATTTTGTCAATTTTTTTTATTTCTATTCATAATTATAAATGTCTTTCAATGTCAAAATTGCTTTAAATTATACAAAGATAAAAAATACGTTTACGAGCAATTATATAAAGCCACACAACGAATGTTATCATCACTACTATTTCCAGTCTGTGCTCAAATTTTATTAGATCAAAATAATATACAATCTAAATATATATCTTCACAAGGTTTATCTGGTCGTGTTATACCAGCGGGAACATTTCCAACCAAAGTTTTAGCTCTAGAATATTTATATGGACTTCAATGTTCATTGCCCANCAAAAATTGACCTATTTTCCAGAAGAAGTAGCTAATCGTAAAAAACTGAAAATTTTCCCCAACAACTCATTTCCAAAGAAAATGAAAATATGTTTATTTATTTTATGATGATTAATTAATTTTGGTTTTATTTTTCATTCGTAGCAAAAAGCAAAAGTCTCAATAATAGCTTTTAGGCCGTAATTTCGTTATTGCTAAACTGATCAAATAATTCTTTAGTTAAGAGTTTGGAGGTGGATCAGAATTATGTATATCAATGAAAACACAATATTCTAAAAAAAAAATGGTTTTTATTGTTTTTAAAAAAATATATATTTGGAAATTTTCAGCCATATATACATTCATTTTCAACCTTCTAACAAATAACCATATGAAACAAAAATTATCTATATAAACAACAAAAACAACGCAAAATAATCTTCTAGTATTACTCAAGATTATTTTAATCTGTCATATAATGATAATGTATTTGTTGTTAGATTGAAAATGGCCGCATAAGGTCAAAAATTCCCGAACATATGTTGTTCGTTTGCTTTTGTTAAAAACAATAAAAACATTTTGTTTTCAGAAATCATCTCTTCGATATTCTTCACAATAATCCTATCGAAATTACATGTCATCTGATCGCAATGTATTTGAGTAATAGTCTATAAGAAGAAAATGTTGCGATGTAGAGTCATAGAAAATTTTAGTCAGGCTTTTCTTTGGCATTTAACTATATATAGAAATCGAAACAACCAATGACAATGTATAATCTTCCTCACCCATATACCTGCCAGAATACAAGTATTAGCATTATTGCTGACATCAATCAGAGCAAAATCATGACTGAAGAATGAATTAATACACTGCATATGTCTAGTCAAGCAAAGAGAATAGCTAAATAGTGCGACTCTTACCTTCAAGTATATATATAGTAACGAAATCGTAACTATAATTTCATAGTTTGTTTATTGAGTAATTCGATGTTATACGAACTATGCAATTTTATAAAAACTTGACAATGACATGTGATTATAAATAGCAGTTTCTTTTTTTTTATCATCAAACATTATGTTTATACTATTATTTTAGATCATTTTCTTCAAAATTAGTTTAAATATTTTACAAGGATGACAAATAAAAATGAAATTATCATTTTGTCAATTATTTCTATTTCTATTCATAATTATAAATGTCTTTAAATGTCAAAGTTGCTTTCAATTATACAAAAATTAAAAAAAACGTTTATGAGCAACTTTACAAAGCCACACAACAAATGGTATCCTCACTACTATTTCCAGTCTGTGCTCAAATTTTATTAGATCAAAATAATATACAATCTAAATATATATCTTTGCAAGGTTTATCTGGGCGTGTTATACCAGCTGGAATATTTTCAACCAAAGTTTTAGCTCTAGAATATTTATATGAACTTCTTTGTCCAATACCAAATTTACCACCACGACTATCTACTATTCAGGCAATTGATGTAGTACGTATCACTTATGATAAAAAATATTTGATCACTCAAACTGAATTAGTATTTCATATATCTGGTAATAAACGATTAACTTTACTTGCAAGTATGGCTTTGATAAAAATTATAAACTATGTGGTTATGATGGACAATTACGAAATCTTGGATTAATATTCGATCCATCTACAGATGCAGAACATCTTGCAGCAATATAGGTCATATGTAATGTTACACAAACATTCTGTAGTGGAACATTACAACAATATTCAAGTGTCGATGATTGTAAACAATATGTAATGACACAGATACCTTTTGGTTCACTTGATAGAGGAGACCAGGGAAATGTTGCTTGCCGCACTATACATGCAATTTTTGTTCCTCTATTACCATCTGTACATTGTCCACATGTTGGTCCAACTGGAGGAGGAGCATGTGCCAATAAAACGATTGATTTTTATTATAATCAACCAAATTTTCTTGGGTTGTGCTTGTAAACAAAAACATGAAAAAAAAACATTTTCTTTTCTTAACTTAATATTTAAATAATAAATTGATATAATTTATAAATAATTGCGCGAAAACAGAGACAAGGAGCCATGAGAAAGATCTACGCCTCCAAATCGATATTAATTCTCTGCTATGATAAAAAGAATGAACTAAAAGTTTCATTATCTTCCTACAATATAGCACCAACTGTACTACCAAACTATATGATTGAATTTCTACCTTGTTTTAGTATATTTTTGTAAGACAATAGTTTTCTACTGATGGTCCGTTCATATGACTTAACATCTGAGCTCCAGTGGATGCGATTTACATTTTTAGTCTCGAAAAATAAAATTTAGCCAAGGTATAATTCAGTGCCTGTTCTGGCATAACAAACAAGACAAGTGATTAGATTCATGCTGAAGATTTCAAGTGAATGCATGAAAAATCATTGCACAATCAAAGGAGACTAATTTGATCCGTGTCTCATAGTTCAACTTAATAATTATTGTTTCGTGTTTCTTTATTAATTTAGTACTCAAAGATTTGTTAACATATCTCTTGAAAACTTGTAGGAACAACAGAATCTTGAGGTGAGAAGGTGAAGATAATATTCATATCAATATTTAATATATTTATTTTTCAATTAATTAGGATTGTGACAAAATGCGTGTGGAGAAACAATTATGTAAAAAGCAAATGTTCACAGAAACAAATATCATACATTAATTTCAAAGAGACTGATAATAAAATGCCATTATTCAAGTTTCAATACGACTTATTTTTCATCATAATATAATCAATGGCGATATCATGATACAAACAATTGGAATTTTCAGTCGACTTGGAAAAAGACAAATAAAAAAAAAAGCTTGCAGTGATGTCTGATTATTTGTTTAAAATTTTTCTTTTCCATTATTCTATTACATTGTATTTATGTAAATTAAGAAGATTCAGAATGAGAATGCAATTACGAAATAAACCAAGTAACAATGTGCAAATAATGAAGAACGAAAATAACTATACGATTAATATGAAAAAAGATTTTAATTCGATTAATGTTTGTTTTGTTTGATACTTTTTTTAATGATTCATCTTTTTCGTGAGAGTTTAGGAGAACTTGTTGAGATAAAATAGTTTCTAAAAATGAACGTAAAAGCTGCTTTTTGAACGAAATGAGACCCAAGCAGACAGATAAATCGATTTTGAACGAAGATACTGAATTTCAGTCGATTTTTATGCGTTTTTTCGGCTTGTTTAAAAAACGCACAAAAAGTCCTGTTTTAGCAGACTTCGTTATAGTTTTCCATTTTTTTCCTTTTTTCTTTTGGGCGCTTTTCTGTCGAATTTTAGTACATTTTTGCAGAAAAGTAGTTAAAAGTTATTATCATAAGAAAACGCTCATTTTTTACCTAAAAGAATTGAAATTTTTAGTGCTTACGGACTAAAAGTTTATTACTCAATTTTTCTTTATCACTAATTAGATTTAATTTTTCTTTAAAATTTTACTGGAATGAACTGTTTATTTTAACAAGAGATATGGCATTCTCCCTTTTATCCTTTTTGTAATTCATTCTAATACAAAGACTTCATTTCAATTTAATTGATGCCATTTGTTGCATATATTGTTTGCGACCAACATTTTAATAAAGAGTGACTAGAAAAATACGATTCTGAATCCCAGTAGATGAAATCCATAGTGATTATTATCCTGAAACATAAAACTTTGCTATAGATAAACGCCACATGACTGGTTTACGTCAACATACAGATGGAAACATTCATCATAGAAAACATTGTAGTATAATTACAATGATGTACTTTCAGGTTCATTCGATTGAAACATATAGAAAAGATATACACTCGTTAGGGGTAATTCGGATCAAAAATTAGAAAATCGATTTTGTTTTTATTCGCTCTCAATCATTGTACGTCGTAACAAGGTGATTTTTGCAGTGCTACTAGAACAAACTGTCCTCTTTCTAATGCTGAAAGAATTTTTTAAAAACCTTTTACCAGAAAAAAGTTATAGTTAAAATGGCAAAAGACTACAAGTGCTGATCCGAATTACCCCATTTGGGGTAATTCGGATCAGTCAGTCAATCTACTTGGGGTAATTCGGATCACTCCAGCAAAAATGTATAGAACAAATTTTCCCATCTCATAACTCATTTTTTATCCATTATTATATGGAAAACA